AAATATATATTCCACAAAGAGATCGTGAATTATAAATTGAAAAAATTAATCATTCCTCTAACAAGGTATGCCGTCAATAACTCGGTATAAAATATTCCCAAAAAGTCAACGTTGTGGCAGAATTCTATCAGAAAATACTTATTCTACGAAGCGATCGTGAGGTATAAATATATTGCAAAAAATTGATTAGTCCTCTTCCAAGGTATGTCGTCGATGTCTCCGTATAAAATATTCCCAGGGAGCCTACGTCGGGGCAGAATTTTATCTGGAAATATTTATTTCTCAAAGAGATCGTGAGGTATATATTGCAAAAAATTAATCACTCGTCTTGCAAGTTATTTCGTTGACGTCTCCGTATATAATATTCCTAGGTAGCCTACGTCAGGGCAGAATTCGATCTAAAAATATTTATTTTACAAAGAGATCGTGAGGTATATATTGCAGAAAATTAATTAGTCCTCTTCCAAGGTATGTTGTCGATGTATCCGTATAAAATATTCCCAGGTAGCCTAGGTCGGGGCAGAATTCTATCTGGAAATATTTATTCCGCAAAAAGATCGTGAGATATACAGGGATATTCTTAAGTACTTGAGGAGCGGGGACCAGCGTGTAGATCAGCTTCCCCTGAGCCAAAATCCGTTTACAGAATAATTTTTTAACAATTATTCATTAAGTAAATGGATTTACAAAAGTGCTCAATTTCAGCGTGTTTAGAACGCCAATTTCAATGGCGCGGGCTGCCATGAAGTGCAGTGTCATGGATCGGAACAACATAGCAACAAACCTCTAGGTCGGTAAACAAAGTCTGAATAGATCCCCTAGCGGGCAGGAGATGGCGCTCAAATGTAATTAAAATAGTAAAAACGTGTAGCTATAAAACTATTAGAAGGACATGAAGGGCTGAGTATCACAAACGTAAAAACAAATAAATAAGCGTACGAAAAGGTTATTTAGTTAACCAAAGATATTATTGTGAGATCATTCTACATACGATAAAATTGACAATGACGATGTAGATAATGATGATAATGATAAAGATAATAAACATGATAATTAATATAATATAAGAAAGAAGATACAATTGTAAACAACATTAATAATAATAAAGACAAATGTTTAACGTAAGCGGCTATCAGGTGAAACTTGGGCCGCACTTGGGTAGTACTTGAGCAGTGGCGCTTGGGTGGTACTTGAACGCCACTTTAGCGGCACTTGGGCGGAATTAGAGCAGCGGCACTTGGGCGGCACTTTGGCTATAGTTTGTCGGCACTTGGGCAGAATGTTAGCAGCGGCACTTGGGCAGTACTTGGGCAGTACTTTGGCTGTAGTTTGTTGGCACTTGGGCTGAATGTGAAAAGCGGCACTTGGGCGGTACTTTGGCTATAGTTTGTCGGCACTTGGGCAGAATGTGAGCAGCGGCACTTGGGCGGTACTTGGGCAGAATGTGAAAAGCGGCACTTGGGCGGTACTTGGGCAGAATTTGAGCAGCGGCACTTGGGCGGCACTTGGGCGGTACTTGGGCGGCACTTGGGCCGTACTTTGGCGGTACTTCGGCAGAATGTGAAAAGCGGCACTTGGGCGGTACTTGGGCAGAATTTGAGCAGCGGCACTTGGGCGAAACTTAGGTGGTACTTGGGCAGCACTTGTGCAGAATTTGAGTAGCGGCACTTGGGCGGTACTTGGGTGGCACTTGGGCCGTACTTTGGCGATACTTTGTCGGCATTAAGACAGAATGTGAGCAGCGGCACTTCGGTGGTACTTGAGCGGCACTTGGGCGGTACTTTGGCGGTACTTTGGCAGAATGTGAAAAGTGGCACTTGGGCGGTACTTTGGTAGAATATGAACCCGCTGCTCACATTCTGCCCAAATACCGCCAAAGTACGGCCCAAGTGCTGCCCAAGTACCGCTGCTCACATTCTGCCCAAGTACCGCCAAAGTACGGCCCAAGTACCGCCCAAGTGCCGCCCAAGTGCCGCTGCTCAAATTCTGCCCAAGTACCGCCCAAGTGCCGCTTTTCACATTCTGCCCAAGTACCGCCCAAGTGCCGCTGCTCACATTCTGCCCAAGTGCCGACAAACTATAGCCAAAGTACCGCCCAAGTGCCGCTTTTCACATTCAGCCCAAGTGCCAACAAACTACAGCCAAAGTACTGCCCAAGTACTGCCCAAGTGCCGCTGCTAACATTCTGCCCAAGTGCCGACAAACTATAGCCAAAGTGCCGCCCAAGTGCCGCTGCTCTAATTCCGCCCAAGTGCCGCTAAAGTGGCGTCCAAGTACCGCCCAAGCGCCACTGCTCAAGTACTACCCAAGTGCGGCCCAAGTTTCACCTGATAGCCGCTTACGTTAAACATTTGTCTTTATTATTATTAATGTTGTTTACAATTGTATCTTCTTTCTTATATTATATTAATTATCATGTTTATTATCTTTATCATTATCATCATTATCTACATCGTCATTGTCAATTTTATCGTATGAAGAATGATCTCACAATAATATCTTTGGTTAACTAAATAACCTTTTCGTACGCTTATTTCTTTGTTTTCACGTTTGTGATACTCAGCCCTTTATGTCCTTCTAATAGTTTTATAGCTACACGTTTTTACTATTTTAATTACATTTGAGCGCTATCTTTTGCCCGCTAGGGGATCTGTTCAGACTTTGTTTACCGACATAGAGGTTTGTTGCTATGTTGTTGCGATCTATGACACTGCACTTCATGGCAGCTCGCGCCATTGAAATTGGTGTTCTAAACACGCTGAAATCGAGCACTTTTGTAAATCCATTTACTTAATGAATAATTGTTAAAAAATTATTCTGTAAACGGATTTTGACTCAGGGGAAGCTGATCTACACGCTGGTCCCCGCTCCTCAAGTACTTAAGAATATCCCTGTATATTGCAAAAAATTAATCATTGCTCTTACAAGGTATGTCGTCGATCGCTCCGTATAGAATATTTTCTAGTAGTCAACGTCGGGGATGGATTTATTTTAGAAATATTTATTTCACGAAGAGATCGTAAAGTATACATTGCGGAAAATTAATTGGTCCCCTTAAAAAAGATGTCGTCAATGTCTCCGTATAAAAAAAGTCCCTAGTAGTTAACGTAAGAGCAGAGTTCTATCTGGAAATATTTTTTCCACAGTAAGATCGGAAGGTATATATTGCAAAAAATTTATTATTTCACTTACAAGGTATGTTTTCGATGTCTCTTTATAATATTTTCCGAGGTAGCCAACGTCAAAGCAGGATTCTATCTGGAAATATTTATTTTACGAAAAGATCGTGAGGTATGTATTGCAAAAAATTGATCATTTCTCTTAGAAGGTATGTTGTCGATGTGTTCGTATAAAATATTCCTAGGTAGCCAGCGTCGAGGCAGAATTCTATCTGGAAATATTTATTTTGCGATAAGATCGTAAGGTCAACATCGCAATAATTTTATTATTTTCCTTACAAGGTATGTCGTCGATGTCTTCGTATAAAATATTTCTAGGTAGCCAACGATAGGGCTAAATTCTATCTGGAACTATTTATTTCACGAACTGGTCGTAAATTATAAATATATTGCAAGAAATTGATCAGTTTTCCTACAAGGTATGTCGTCGACGTCTTTGTAATAACTATTCCCAAGTAGCCAACGTCGGGGCAAGATTCTATTTAAAAATTTTTATTCAACAAAGAGATCGTGAGGTACTTATTGCAGAAAATTGATCATTCCTTTTTCAAAGTATGTTGTCAATGTCTCCATGTAAACTATTTTTAAGTAGCTAACGTCATAGCAGAGTGCTATCTGGAAATATTTTTTCCACAATGAGATCGGGAGGTATATATTGCAAAAAATTGATCATTTCACTTGCAAAGTATGTTGTTAATGTCAGTTTATAATATTTTTCCAGGTAGCAAACTTCGGGGCAGAATTGTATCCGAAAATATTCATTCCACAAAGAGATCGCGAGGTGTAAGAATATTGCGAGAAATTAATCAGTCCTCTTACAAGTTATGTCGTTGATGTTTCCGTATAAATTCTTCTGGGGTAGCCAACTTTAGGGTAGAATTCTATTTAAAAATATTTATTTAATGAAAAGATTGTGAGGTATATATTGCTAAAAAGTAANTTTGTTGCTATGTTGTTGCGATCCATGACACTGCACTTCATGGCAGCCCGCGCCATTGAAATTGGCGTTCTAAACACGATGAAATCGAGCACTTTTGTAAATCCATTTACTTAATGAATAATTGTTAAAAAATTGTTCTGTAAACGGATTTTGACTCAGGGGAAGCTGATCTACACGCTGGTCCCCGCTCCTCAAGTACTTAAGAATATCCCTGTATATTTTTATTCAGATTTCACTACGAATACTGTTTGACCACGTAAAATAAACTGGTTATCGGCACCTCTGACAAAAAACTGCAAAAAAAAATTTGTCCCCACTCGATGATTGATAGAAAGCTACTAATTAAAACGATGCGCGAAGAAATGCACCTTGCTCCAGCTTTAGTTAAAACTTCTTTGTGTTACATGCTATGGGGCCGGTACTTGCTGACTTCATGCGCTTAGGCTTAGTAGATCACTTAGGTTGTCACTTGACATTTTTGAGAGCCATGACGCACACAGTCAGCTATGTTAAGTAACGACTTTCTTTCTTCATTATCATTTGTAGGAGTTTCCACTGTTGTACTTAGGTTCCGACATAAATTGGCGCTTATTAATTCTTTTTTTTTTACTGATGATTGATTTGCCCCTTCTACTTCAATAATTGGTGCTGCATTTAGGGTTGTTGCCGCAACTGCTGCATCACGTAGTTTGTAGTATTCAGCATCATACCTGATGTACGGTGCGATGCATGGCTGTTCTTTCAAAGATAGCATAGGATCTAACTTATTTCGGAATATCTTTATTTGTTGTTTATTGATCAGCCCCTTAATCATTACATCCGACCAACATCTATTCTCCGATATATTATGAATCCTGAACAGTTTTTTATTTATTAGGAACATGGATAGTGTTGATGCTGCTGATTCCTCACGTTGTCCAGTGAGTGGGGTAGTGAATAAAATAGCTTATGTAGTGTTGGTGCTACCCTCAAACTGTAATTTCTGCCTCCGGTGGAGAACGAAACGCTACCTCATAACTTGAATAACCCATAGCACAGGATTTCTGTTCTATGGACTGTACTATTTCGAAATTCTTAAGTATTTCTTTTAGCATAAGTCCACTATAATTTCCCGGCAATGGTAAGTTAAGTCGGGTTCCGTCAGCCATTACTTCGATGCTTTTAGGGTTTTGTTTGTCCTTGGTGAGTGTAATTCTGTAAGTGTAATTGATAACTATTTTATGTGCTTAATTAGGTAAGTGTATATGTATGTGTTTAATATGTAAGATCGTGCCATTAAAGTTTATTTTGTACATGCATGTAAGTGAAAAAAAATCGTGCTTGGGTTGCATAGGAATACATGGTTTTTTTTCCTTTATGTGAAAAATTTGGAATCATATCCACTACATAACTTTATGTATTACTTAAGCTTTCATCATTAATTTAAATAGTTAAAGTAATTTGAACAATACTTATATGTTAAAACATTATAAATCTAGATATGTATTTGTAAATTTTTTTTTTTTTTTAAATATATTTCTAATAATTGTACTAAATATAAATTCATTTATCGATTTTATAAAGCCTAATTGAATTTTAAAACTAAGCGATGCATTCTCTTAACGTAGGATGTAGCTTGTTGACTATTAAGGTTCTATCTTTGGGTTCGTTTTTCCCTATTGATGATGATTCTCTCTTACAACGATGATTTTGGTAAAGATTTGTCTTGTTTCTGAATTTTGTGTACATCGTTGTCATCTGTATGTCATGACATGTCTCTGATATGTCATAAACGGAACTTGTTGTTCACATGAAGGGGGAGACAATTTCTTGTTTATTTTGTGTTTTGCACTCCTTTTAATTTCTCCACTCAGGATCCATGTAATTTACACTGACGATCTTTCCCGACGATCTATATCAGCATAACAATATTTTAGGGTGCCAAATTGAGAGAAATGGTTCAAGCAATCTCTTTCCCTTTTTTTTCTTCTATATCCCATGGTAGAAGACACATAAGTCTTTTTGGATCAATGTTTGGTGTATCATTGTCGCTCTTTGGTGATGTTAGTAAAAAAATCTTTACTGTTTGACAAGTAGTGGTTTTCATCTTCAAAGTTGAAAGTGTCTAAACTTCTTTTCCTATATTTAGTGTTTTATCAGGTTTTTTAGTGAATAAATGACTATGGTATATAGTGCTTATAGTTCGATGTGTGTAACTATGTAAATCTAGAAGTATGTGCATTTCCTTGATGTTCCTTTATTCTCTAATTATTTAATAACTTCATGTGAAGAATGGTCTACATTGACTTGAGTTTTCTTTGTTATTTCATAGTCAGGATTCATCGTAAAGCCTGGAAGGAAAATAGTATCAAATTACTATCGATTTATGAGTCTATTTCATACTTTTGGGGTGTATAGCGTAGGATTATCAAACTTCGTGTCTTTATCATGAGTCTAGTTTTGGATGATTTAGGTATTTTTTGTTTCTCTTTAATTTTGATATAAAGTTCAGTGGGTTCGTGTTCTTTTGGACCATATTTTATTGTGAGTCAGGGTTCTGTGTTCAGTGGATTGGTGGTTCATTTCAGAAATTTTGCCGAGACACTACGTTTCATAGTCTTCTTGAAACAACTTCTTGCTTTACTAATAAGTATTGCTATTATAATTACAATAATAATAATAGCAANATGTTTCCGTATAAATTCTTCTGGGGTAGCCAACTTTAGGGTAGAATTCTATTTAAAAATATTTATTTAATGAAAAGATTGTGAGGTATATATTGCTAAAAAGTAATCATTCCTCTTACAAGGTATGTCATTACTGTCTTTGTATAAATTATTCCCAGGTAGCGACGTCGAGGCAGGATTATGTCTAAAAATATTTATTTTATAAGAAGATTGTAAGGTAGATATTGCACAAAATAAATATTATATTTTCCTCTTGTGACGTATGTCGTCAATGTTTTCGTATGAAATATTCCCAGGTTGCTAACGTTGAGGCAGGATACTATCTGAAAATATTTATTCCACGAATAAACTGGCTAGTACATATCCTGAAAAATTGTTCATTTCTCTTACAAGGTATGTTGTTGATTTCTCTTTATAGAATATTTTTAAGTAGCTATCGTCGGGGCAGCTTCCTATCCGGAAATATTAATTTCCAAAGAGATCGTGAGGTACACATTGAAAAAATTGATCGTTCCTCTTACAAGGTATGCCATCAATAACTCAGTATAAAATATTCTTAATGAGCTAACGTTCGGGCAGAATTCTATCTGAGAATACCTATTTTACGAAGAGATCGTGAGGTATAAATATGTTGCAAAAAATTGATCAGTCCTCTCCCAAGGTATGTCGTCGATGTCTCCGTATAAAATATTCCCAGGTAGCTAACGTTGGGGGCGTATTTAATTTGAAAATATTTATCTCACGAAAAGATCGTAAGATTTGTATTGCAAAGAATTGATCATTTCTTTAAGAAGGTATTTTATTGATGTCTCCGTATAAAATATTCTTAGGTAGCCTACGTCAGGGCAAAATTCTATCTGGAAACATTTATTTTACCAAGAGATCGTGAGGTATATATTGCAAAAAATTAATTATTTCTCTTACAAAGTATGTCGTGGATGTCTCCGTATAAATTATTTCTAGGTAGCTAACGTCAGGGCAGAATTCTTTTTAGAAATATTTATTTAACGAATAGATCGTGGCACATATTTTGCAAAAAATTGGTCATTTCTCTTACAAGTTATATTGTAATGTCTTTGTATAAAATATTCCCAGGTAGTCAACGTCGGGGCAGGAATTTATCTAAAATTATTTGTTTTACAAAGAGATCGTGCGATATATATTAACAAAAGTTAATCATTTCTTTCAGAAGGTATGTCGTCGATGTCTTCGTATAAAATATTCTTAGGTATCCAACCTTGAGGCAGAATTCTATCTAAAAATAAATATTTTGCGATGAGATCGTGGGAAATATTTTGCAAAAAATAGACCATTCCTCTGGAAAAGGTATCTATTCGATCTCTTCTGAGAAAATATTCTAAGGTAGCCAACGTTGGAGCAGGGTTCTAGGTAAAAATAATCTTCTTACGAAGAGATCGTAACGTAATCATTGCAATAATTTTATCTTTTTTCTTACAAGGTATGTTGTCGATAACTGTGTATCAAATAATTCTAAGTAGTCAACGTAAGGACATAATTCTATCCGGAAATATTTATTTTACGGAGAGGTCGTAGGGTATATATTACAAAAAGTTGATTATTTTTCTTTAAAGGTATGTCGTGGATGTCTTATAAAATATTTTGTGGTTGCTAACTGCAGGGTAGTAATCTATCTGAAATAGAATTAATTTNTTTTTTTTTATTTGCAATACACATAATCTTCATATGAAATGTTCATTACAATACACACTACTTTTCAAAACAAAATTACAAACTACAATGAAGTATAAGATTTCCCGCAATACATTTTACTCTGGCATAAAATGCGAATGCTCTATAATGCAAATTAGACAGGAAAAGAGCGGAAAAAAGAGCGAGTTAGCATGGTACCGTTATGACCCTCTAAATGATAAAAATAACATCTGCACTGCCCACCGTTTGTATTATGGCATTAAAATTTTTACATTTTATGTGTGGAAAAAAAGTTACGGTAAATGTCCCAATTATTGCTTACTCGTTCCAATTATGCTGTCGGTCGCTTTGTTTGTTTTTTTTTTTTTTTTTTTGCAGGCCTTAGGTATATTTTCAATGAATTACAAGATGGATTTGTATCAAAAAAATGATTTTTTGGTAACCCAATAACAATCTACTCAGGTTTGAAAGAATTAACATTAAGAGATAAAAAAAACAATCGGTAATTAAGACATAAGCGGTAATTAGTACATTTACCTTCTATACAAAAAAAAGTAGGTCTTCAGAAAAATACTTTCTTTTTTTTCACTATTTTATTGTTATTTGTTTGGTAACAATTGTTTTTAAACTAGGCAGAAAATGTTTTTCTAGCATATCATTTTTTCATTCTACTGACGGAAAAATGTTTCATACAAAATTCAAAATCTTATCTAAGTATACTGTTTTGTGTATGCTTGCTGCAGTGTTATTATCTATGTACAGGAATAAGGTTGTTTTTATTTGACATTTACTAATAAAACACTAGTATAAAGCTCATTTAAAACATGTCACTTAGCTACGAAATTGCTCTTAAAATAAAGTCAATCACAATTAAAAACTTACAAATCCTAAAACCACGAATCCTTAATGTTTAAACTCGTAACCTGCAAACCAACAAATATAACATCCATCAGCATCGAATTCACAACTTGTAGCTTACAAATTCTAAATACTTATCAATAACATATATAAACTCCAAAGATAAAGCCCACACTAATATACCACAAGATTATCTGCAAACTTATAAATCCTATTAAACTTACAACCCCACTTCTATAATTTAAAGTTCACAAACTTACATCTCTCGAATACTGAGCTCATCAATCTCGAACATCAAACTGACAAACTCCTTATTAACAAACTTTAATCTTTATAGAATAATTTAAAATAAATAATTTTTTGTTTCTTTTCACTAAATTTTCACCCATATGTAATAAAATCACTTTTCTGCTAAGAAACTTGAAAAAAAAATTTTTTTATATTTTCTATTTGGTATGTTTACAAAATATAATCGTCGATTGATGTTCATTTTTATACCGTCAAGACTAAGTGACTTATCTCTGATGATATGTGATAACCTCAAAGTCGTTATGGGTTATGGTTTTTTATCAAGAAGGTCAAGAATCAGTTTTTTATGGATTTACAACTAAGTGATTGGGTTTTCTATGTGCATTTTGGTTTAAACTATTGATACATATTTTCTGTCAATAAATTTCATACAATAGTAAATGTGAAAAACAGACTTACAGTTTTTAAATTCTTTGAATATTGTATTACTAAAAAAAAATTTATTTAAAAATTCAAACTTACTCTATATTTTCATATTCATAATTTAACAAGTAATCATGTGATTTTTATTTTAAAATGTAATGGATTTCTGTGCAAACAGTCGAATGAAAAAAATATTTGCATCAATGAATTTTTACAGGTAACATATCCTCTCTGTACTGTTGCCCATACACCACGACTTCCAGAACATTGCATTGAGTACGTCAAAGTTATTATGTGGCCGAAAGAAAATCCATTTGACGGTCCTATTGATGGTGATGATCCTCAACATTTAACCTGGATATACGAAAAATCTCATGAGAGAGCTATAAATTTTGGTATTCATGGTATTTCCTACCGCCTTGTCCAAGGAGTTGTGAAAAATATTATACCAGCTGTAGCATCAACAAACGCAGTTATTGCAGCTGTGTGCAGTACAGAAGCTTTTAAAATAGCAACGAGTTGCAGTGCATCGTTAAACAATTACATGGTTAGTATCATAAAGACTTTCCTAATAAACCATCATTAAGAGAGCGGCATTGGCTCAGTGGTAAGCGTGCTTGTTGCTCATACAACTCTGTTGGCTCTAGGGGCCGTAGGGAAAGGCTGCACAGTGGCAAGTAGACCCGATGCACCATTGGTGCAGAGAGCGTCAGCTTAACTGGCAAGGTTTTCACTGAGATATTCGCATTGTTCCCATGGATTAGGTATGACATCTGTAAAAAGGGTTGGAAATGGGTCCGGCAATACACCCTCACACATAGGTGGTGAGTTGGTTGCCCCGGCGCCCAGTGGGCAAATTCGCACTTTTTTTGTATCAAAATCGTAAATCTCGAGACAGGATAGAGATATCACTACGATTTTTTTAACCTTACAGGTAATTGGACTAGGTATACAGATAGGCAATAGCGTAATATTGTTATAAACAGTTATGATTTATCATTAACATTAGAAAAAATTAAATTCTTTATAAAATTCCTGTTTTCAATACAATTTTCTCGAAATTTACCACAGGGGGGTTTTTGGGGTCGCTGATCACGATTCTCAGGTTAGTTTTTGTAAATTTAAAATGGCTGATCCAATACGGCGGGAAAAAATCGGGAATTTCATAAAAATTTGAATTTAATTGTTAAAGTTGTTATTGTTGGGTTTTTGGGGTCTCTGAGAACCTGAGGTTAGCTTTTTTGTAAATTCAAAATGGCCGATCCAATATGGCGGACAAAAATCAAGAATATTATAAAAATTTGAATTTAATTGTTGAAGTTGTTATTGTTTGAGTTACTTATACCAAATTCAAGGTAAGACTAGTAATAAAAAAAATAGTTGATTCTATATGGCCGACAAAATTATGCATTTTTCTGATTTAAATTAAATTTATTTTTTTTATGAATAAACGAACGTAATGAGTTATGTTCACATACTATAATCTTCTATATAGGTATATACATATTGTCTAAGCCAGGGCTTTCGTAACATGAGTTGTATGCACGAAATTCAAAATGTCTAATCTAATATGGTAGACGAAAATGTCTATATGAAATATCTAAATATATAATTGATTTGTAACTACAATCAAAGTTTTTTTTTGAATTGCTCATAGCAAATTTGAGGTCTGATCCATGTGTTACCATATATACGATTTAATATGGCTAAAACAATCGTAACATTGTTTGAATTTTAATACAAAATTTCAGGTTAAAGAAATGGAAGAATTACAGTTTGCTCGCGAACTTTTATCCATCTGGATTTAGATAAGAACTCAGGGTCGGATATTCGATAACTTTAATTAATAACTGCTTTTCTTTTTTTGGAGGCGAAATCAAAACATCTAAATATATAATAGAACATAAGTAAATTGACTTAAGTTACTTTCTTCGGTTACAGATGTAACATTCCTTTTTAAAATTAAATGTTGCATGTCCATGAAAATCTACTATCTTATCTATTATTATGTATAACATACCAATAATAGCATGAAGAGGAGTTTCAAAAATGATGAGAGCTTCTTAATAATTTTGTCAAATTTTTCTTGAGGCCACTAATAAGGTAATAGATTAAGAATTTAATAAACAAAATACATACTTCGCTGTAATCGAGTTAATCATACATTTTTCAACAAGTATTTTAAACATAAAAACATAGTGAGTTATATATAAATTTAATAACATTCAATAATCTCTTTCAGCTTCACTCTGTGAGTCGATCATATCATCACTATATCTTTCATCATAACTTTTGTCATCGTCAACTTTCTCACTAAAACAAGAACTAATTAATATGTGATGAATTCAACGATCTTATTGTTTCATTTACCTGTCTGCGAGGAATCTTCTGATATCCAAAGCTGCACAACCATTTTTCGATTTTCTCATTCTTTCGTCAATCAATATTGAAGAAATGAATGGATCGCTACAGTAAAGGGCTCGATTAAAAATATCTAATAATTTTGCTTTGTTGGATATTTGTCGTGCGTGTGAGGTCTGGTTCTTACGATACAACCTGTGCCACGACTCGTTCGCGTCTTCCGAATAAAAAAGCATGGGTAGTGAAAATTGGCTTGCAATGGCACAGCCATGCTTTAACAATTTGTGTACAGTAGGATTCATTCTTGCAAACGGATACGTTTTGTAGTATAAGTTATATGTTTCGTGTGATAATTTTTCCAGTTCTTCCAAATTTAAATTTTTACAGCATTTAAAGGCCCATAATATTAGAGCGATATTAATTACTATTTCCGTTAAAATTCCTAGGCTTTCTGCAAACATTTCTGGATATTGAAAGCATTGCCTCGCGATATTACCAGTATTCGAAGTCCCACGACCTTGCAAAATTTGATTCATGCGAACATGAAATTTTTTGTAGATTTTTTCTTTAATGATGATACTTTCTTTTTTTAAATCGTCTGCAAAATAATGAACACACTTTAAAACTTATGGATTGCAAAATAACGTTATCTTAAGAAAGGCGTAATGATTGAAATTTAATTAATATAAATTAACATTATTATGAAAATTCATTTAAGGATGCTCTTTATTGTATATGTATCACCCGAAATTTTTAAGAATTATCTATGGTCTCCATAATAATAATTAGGTAATAAAAAGATATTATAGAACAAAAGCAAGGTTTATTATGAGAAAGTTAAAAAACACTTAATCTATTGTTACGATTCTTTTGACCATATTTTTTGGTCTTGCACCATAATTGTGGACTTAAAGATATAATTTGAGCAGTTAAGTAGTAGTTATACCTTTTTTGCTTTTTGGAATGTGTCACAGTGACAGGTTCAACTTTAGCCGTTCAGCTAATCTAATTAAATGCTCGAAGGATCGTATTTCGCAGTGAAGTAAGTTCAACCCATATTTTAGTGACGATTCTGTGGGAGTACAATTGTCATCTAAGTTCTTAAATCTACAGCTGCTGATTAAACACATGGGCAGGATGAAGATGACTTATTGCTGACTATTGAGTTGAGACTATTAAAGCTCTTAGCTTTACCGTCAAACATGGTTTTGAAAACAATACAAGTCATTTTAACTACTTTCCTATTTGTCAATAGGAACATGTGTTGTTTAAGTGTCTGTATCTCATTCTTTAGTCAACAATATTCCTGAACCGATGTTTCGTCATCTTCTTTTTCGATCGCCAATCTTAATGGTCTGCAAAATCTGTAGCTTTGTGGGGTCGGGTTCCACCAAAAAATCTCTAGATATAAACACCAAGAAGTAAAATTGAACTCTATCTTTAATACATATAATTTACATAATAGCTTGCACAAGACTTGAATAAAGTTTTAGTTTGCTCGCTCTTGTATCTAATTCTCGAAACAAGATGAAGAATAGACAATAAAAAGACAATATTCGGACGATAAAAAATGTGTTAAACTAATAAAAAGTGAAGAAAATAATATCAAGATCTTGTTAAACATTATTTTTGTCTAAAAAAATTGTAATTGTAGAAGTGAACTTAAAATATTTTGGAATATTGTTAATTTTACTACTGTTTTACATTATTTATGGTTTAACCAGTAATTTTATCAGAAATAGAATTGTCAATAATGTTTTAATTTATGGTTTCGTATATGAAAACATTATATTCTTCTAAATTAATACAGTTTCAAAGCTCAGAAATACCTGAAATAATTGTACATTTCAGCTGTATAATAAGACAGCTGCTTACAAAAAGAGAATATTGAGCTTGTAAGCTCTCATTGGATTTATTTTCAAATCTTTGATGACTGTTGTTGTAACCAGAGGAGCTATCAAAACCCAGAGTTACATGAAGCTCCAAGTTCTTCAAAGCATCTTTTGACCAATCCAAAGCCACGGAGTTTCATAAACGCTCTCCAGTTTTATTCAATATGCTCTGCAACGGTGTACATATTTCTACTTCAGAAATACTGCATTCATTAGGTTTGCATGCTTTCATAGCAATGCTTAATTTATCGTAACTTGGGTAAATTTGGCTGCCATGCTCTTTAATGTCCTTCACTAATGCAAGATATTTTCTTTTGCTGTTATCATGTTCCATGTAAAAAGCCAATGCGGATTCGTTTGAGTGCATGTCGTCTCTTTTTGTATTGGAAAGAATGTTTGATTCATCTTCAGACAAATTATCATTACTATGTTTTTTAGCTTGTTTTGAAGCTAACTCTAACACTGATATGTTATTCTCAGCCGCTGTTGCAATTTCCAATGCACGTCGATGTACAGTCATTCGAGACGCACCTTCGTTGCTTCTCCGTATTAAGTATTAAGGCTTATTTTTAATTTTTTTCGAGGCCGGCCTCCTTTAACATTTGAGCTCATTTTCTGTTGTAATGTTTATTGAAAATAAGACTAACTGTAGGCCTATGCGAATACCTAAAATATACGCATTTGTATTTATCTAAGCAAAAATCGTACATGAAATTTTAGAATCTGAAAGCCTAAGTCGATGTTATGTTTCATATCTTTTCACAGTTTAAACTATTACAGAAGCAGAAAGCCTTCCAGTTTAAACCAGCATAAAAAAAAATAACGGAAAAATTTACTTGTGAAAGTAAAAACTAGTAGTAATGCATATTTTATTTGTAAAGAGTCTTTAGATTTAATTGAAGATATATTAATAAAATCCGAACTTACGAATATTTAATGCAGAGCTTGATAAATATTGTTTGACTTAGTTTTCGTCCTAATATTATATTATTTATTGTAAGAATATTCCGTTTGCATATGAACACGCAGCGCATGCTCATCACATAAAATTATGTATTTGATGCAAGTAAAATAAGAAACACAAAATGGTACAGTAAAACTTGCTTATTCCTACTCAAAAGTTATCTTACTCTTTTTAGAATAGCAGAAAATTTTTACTAGCACTTACATTCGTTAGAAGCATATGCTGATTTCTTAATTCAGCATTTAATAAGATTCTCTTAGCGTGGTGGCAGTTTAGGTACGTGGTGGTTAGAAAAAAAATTTTTTTTAATTCATTTGCTTTATGCACAGT